AAAAAAAAAAAAAAAAAAAAAAAAAAAACCCAAAAATGAAATTGAAGTTTATGAAAACACCTTATTTTGCGAACCTTTTGTGCAAGTAAAAGGAAAACAAGCTCCATCATCTTCTCCATTCATTTGCGTATAAGCTAAAACCCACTGAAATTGGATATCTTCCTGCTTCAATCCATTTCTTTAAATCTCCAAATTCCTCTTCAACCACACTCAAATCCCTCAAACGAAACCGAAATCAAGAACAATTGGAACCAAATCAATCGAATCCCCAATTTAATTCATGGCTATCTCCGCCACAGGAAAAGCCCTAGCCGGCGCCGGAAACCTAATCCGCCTCCTCCCCACCGGCACCGTCTTCCTCTTCCAATTCCTCAGCCCAATCCTCACCAACAGCGGCCACTGCGAACCAGTCAACAAATCCCTCTCTATTACTCTCATCCTCCTTTGCGGCCTCTCTTGTTTCCTCTCTTCCTTCACTGATTCCTACACTGGCGATGACGGGGTTCTCCACTGGGGATTCGCTACAGCGTCCGGAATGTGGCCGGCGCCGGAGTCGAAGACGGTGGATCTTTCAGCCTACAAGCTTAGGGTAGGGGATTTCGTACACGCTACTTTGTCTGCTCTGGTTTTTGGGGCTTTGGTGGTTCTCGACTCCGATACTGTGCACTGCCTCTTCTTCCCGAGCTTTGCGGCTGCGGATAAGTTGTTGGTTCAGGTTCTTCCGCCGGTCGTCGGAGTGGTTTCGAGCGCGGTGTTTGTGATGTTCCCGAATACTCGCCATGGCATTGGGTATTTTGAGTCGTCTGCAACTTTCGGCGGGCGGGTTCAACGTGCATTATGATGATGAAGGGGAGTGTTGGGATGTCTAAATATGTAATTTTACAAATTGATCATTATATTTAATTGGGTATGATACGAAGCATATAATAAATAATATGTTATAAAGTCAAATATTTCTATATTAGTTATATGACTCAAATTACCCCTTTCCCTAAGGTTTATGGAGCTCTCGATTAGCCTCCCTTTAATCGAGGTTTACAATTTTTTGTTCGATATTTGAGAATTCTATTGAGATAGTTAAGTTCATGACTCTGATATTATATTAGGAATCATGACTCTCCATGATGTACGATATTATCCACTTTAAACATAAGCTCTCATGGCTCTCCTTTGGACTTCCCCAAAAGACCTCGTACCAATGGAAATAGTATTTCTCTCACTTATAAACTCATGATCTTCCACTAAATTAACGAACGTATGACTCACTTTCAATAATCCTCAACACCCTTATCCCTAAAGTTTAATTTCTTGAACTATGAATTATAAAGGGTTTTGGTTTGAATTTCTTCTAATTCTAAATTATTATTACTATCCTATTCAAACTATATTAAATAAATAATTTAAATATAAAATTTTAATTTATAGACTCGGTTGTACGTATTACTTTCATACGTACAACCAGTTAGTAGTTCGCAAGGTCAAATTCCACGTTTAATGAAAGGATTGAAGTCATTTTTAAAATTTTTATTTTTAACCAAAGTAATTATTAGTTAGCAATACATCTATTAATCTATTTTTAAATATTTAATTAAAATTTAAATTCAATCTTAATATATATTTAAAAAATTAAAAATACATATTTGTAAGAATAAGTAATAAAATAAAATAAATAATGTATTTATAATTATATTATAAATAAAAATATATTTTTTAAAATTTATGTTCCACCGTACAAATAAGTAAATAAGTAAAGTAAAGAGTTAGAGATATAATATTTAAAAAATATATTAGTTATGGAATATATTTTAAATATTATATCTTAATATTTTTTAGTTGATTTATAATATATTTTATTTTATTTTCAATATTTAATTACTCTATATTTTGGTTAATTATTTTTAGATATTAATGGCTTGATTTGAGAATATCATTGGAATTATAACCGAATATTCAACAAATACAAATAAGTTTATAATTTAACTCGAGCGGGAAGTTTTGTTTTGAACATCATAACATATATATAAGGTAAGCAACACAGAGAGTGAGATGGATGGATGGATGGATGTAACATTGAAATTCAACTAGGTGGCGGGTGGCGGGTGGCGGTCGGGTAGAGAAACGAGAGATATATTAGTGGGAGGAAGCTGTGTCTGAACCCCGGTGGTAGTTGCAGTGCAACGGTACCGTACGCCATGACGAGTATTAGGGAACCAGTAGAACACCATACTCGAAACCAAACCAGTCCCACCGCCAGTGGCAGAATCTGGACTAATGCCTTTGTTGCCGAGGAGAGGGCTGAGGAATTGGTAGAGGAAGACGGTTCCGGAAGGGAGCATTTTGATGACGTCGCCGGCGCCGGTGGAGGTTAGTTTCTTAAATGGGGAGGTGGCCATTTCCAAGGGCTTTTGGATTTGATTGGAGACAAGGTGTCCTTGGTGAGGCTACTTGTATATAAATTTGATTGATTTTTAAAATATTTTTTTAATTAAAAATAAATAATGTTAATAATAACAACCGAATCTATAAATTTAAATTTTATATTTAATTTATTTATACAACCATATATTATTTAATATAGTTTGAATTGATAGTAACAATAAGTTAGAATTAGAAGAAAAATTCAAAACAAGACTGTTTCTAATTCATACTTAAAGAAATTAAGAATAGGATTTACACACAAGTTTGCATTTTATTATTAAAAGTGAAGCTAATAAAAAATGTACATATTTATATTTTATATTTAAATTAATATTCATATAATCGTACTGGCTTTAATTGCAAATATGAATACTATTTGGCAACCTTCTTTTGTAAATTTAAATTAATTCAAACTTATATGAAAACTTTTTTCATTAAGGTTCAAAATCCATTTTTTTTACGTGAATTATGAAGGGTTTTTCGCATTTCGATATAAAGGGTCTAAGTTTTAAATTTTTTTTCATGGTTTTTTGTATTTTTGAACGAGAAGAGCTTAGACATAAAACTTCATTTTCGACCATACCATTATAAAATTGCATGGGTGAATATGTACGTGATTGCATTGATATTGCACATAGTGGTCTCTTTCTTGAATTTATTTATCGATTAACTAATTTTACATACATAATGAAGAATATATTAAGAAATTGAGTCAATTAGACAATAATTGAAAAACTCGAGAATAGATAATAGAAAACGAAACTAGCCCGATAGACTGTAAAAGACAATGTTATAAAAAAGTTGATATTTGCATAATACTATAGCAATGACGTGCAAGTCATTTTTTAATGAGGAGAACGTTAGCACTGAAACGCTGTAAAAAAGGCGAGTAGTACACCAACTTTGTATTAACTTTAATGATGTACCAAGAATAATATAAGAGTCTTCATAAACTCGTTAATTTCAATAAAAATAGGTTTACGAAGTTCGGGTTTTTTTTCTTTTCAAAATAGTAAGAACTGATAAACTTTTGTATACTAGCAAAAAAGTATCTAAGTATGCATCAATGACATACCTATTGAAGAACATGTTTGAGTCAACCTTGCAATCCTTTGCTTTAAATCCTTCTGGCCTCTGCTACCTTTATGTCCCATTCCTACAAACTCTGCCTTGACAATGTGGTGGTCGGAAGTACCTTTCGATGAAACGACCGAGTATGAACCCGGGACGAATTTAAATTTTGAATCCTGTGAAGCTAAGATATAGTCAACTCTCGTGCCATATTTGCAGGTTCCCTGCACATCTGTGTTGCAAAACATATGAAATGAGCAAAGATTTTCAGTATATTTCAAAGAAAAACGGTTCATGAGTTTAAGCAATGTCTCATACTTTGACCTTTGGCCATGATCACCACTGGCACACAGTCTCCTGCATAGTCTTTTGAATCTATGTACCCTTTTCCCTTCAAAAACTTCATCACTTCCACCTTTGGAGTCGGCTTCCCGACCTTCTCGTAGTACTGCAGTCGAAAAAACTTGAATTTATTAACTTCTCATGATCCACATAGAGGTTTCTTTCACAGACATCAATATATTTGGTTTAACTGTTTGGAGAATAGATTTTTTCAAGCATGGAGATTACCTCGACGATGTCGGTCCATCGTTCGGGTGAGTAATCCGATCTCTCCAAAGAATTGAGTCCACCCACCAAGAAGTGTGGAGAATCAACTGATTTTGCTATGGCATTAATCTGCCTCATCCTCCAATTCTCATCTAGATGGTCAAGTTGAGTGCAGTAGATGTTAACTTCTCCTGTCCCGGGCACGTCGATGGCAACCTTTAGCAAGTTTCTGTGATCCAAATTGAACTCAACCCATCAGTTAATCATTGCTACCATTCCCCAGAAGGTGAAAACAAAAAAAGTGATTATAGAAAAGATAGATGATTTTGTTAGGAATCACGACTCTCCACAATGGTATGATATTGTCCACTTTGACCATAAGCTCTCATAGCTTTGCTTTGGACTTACCCAAAAGGCCTCATACCAATGAAGATAGTATTCCTTACTTATAAATCCATGATCTTCCCCTTAATTAGCCAACGTGGGACTCCACTCCCAACAATTCTCAACAGACTTTCGATTCACGTTCTTGTAGTAAGTGATGGGAGAAGAGAAATAAAAACCTGAAATCATCATCATCAGCAATCTTCTGAACATTCCATCTTTTTATAGGCCATTTGGACAAAACAGCATTTCCATACTCAGGAGCCCAGCTCTCAGCAAATACATAATGCATCCCTAAAGCAGCTGCTAAATCAGATAAAGGCTTCATGCCTTTTGATTCCTCAGCCTTCACATCTTGTAAAGCCAATATATCAGCACCTGCCTCTTTAAGAACCTCTAGGATGGTTCTACCACTTGCCAAGTGATCTTCACAGTGCCAATTAGATATGGAGAAAGGAAAGCACACAGGAGACCTTACTGGGACTTGGCTTTTGAAGTACCTTTCGTCTGTCGTTTTCGATAAGCCTGGCAACTTGTTGATTGCTAACGAAATCTCATTGTCAGGAAGATTAATGGAAACTTTTGGCTTGCTTAATGCAGTACGCAATGGAGATTGCTTTAGTATACTCTTTGGGCAATGACTCACAGGGCTTCTACCGAACCCGAATGATGTTGGTTTCTCTGCAATGGGAACAGCAGGAGCAAGAGAGAACATGGCAACATTGAATGTAGCAACTCGAAATGGCCTTTCAATGACAGAACCAGGCACCTGGCTCTTTGTATAGACTCTGGCTTTATTTTTATTGCCTTTTTGTCGACCTTTTACATTCATCTTCCCAAATCTTTTGATGATAACTCTGCGCTTCGGGTGCTTCCATATCAGCCACCATAACCTTGAGTAGAGGCGCCGGAGTTTACTCCTCAGCATCCTCAACATTTCAGCTAAATGAAGGACCTCTCAATTCTTTCTATGGCAATAACGACTTCAAAACTTCATTAAATAATCTGGGGATTGGCTAAGTTTCCCCTTTGATATTTGAGACAACAGCAAGTCATGTGGGAATCAATGGAGATGCCACCAACAGCCCAACTAAAAAGCAGGAGCAACAGTGTAGTGAGAGAGAGAAACATAACATAAAGACAAGGAACCTCTACTTCATTACTTGAGAAGAAGGTTGACAATGGTGAAGTATTGTTGAGCTCCATTTTCCAAATAAACCAAAAGGGAACCAACTACTTCCACTGAACTTAGAAAAAACTTCCAATTGGACTTGACTCTTGAGTATGACAAAGCTCACTGTTTCTGAAAGGATAAGTATGATGTGAGAGAGTACTTTTTTCATACCTTATCAGTTTGAGTCTAGCTGTGGTGAAGTTTTCCTTGGCAGGTGCAACAGAAACTTTGAAATGTTTCATCACTTCTGAGTTGAATTTAATCTCTCCTTTCACCATCTTTATAGAAAAAAAAAATGGTTGCTTTGATTTCTGGCGACAATGAGCAGAGTTGATCAAATCTTGAACTTTCTCCAGGTGGTTGTCCTGGGTCCCCCTCATGTAATGGAAGTAAAAAATAAAAATGAACAAAAGAAAAAGGAGGAGTTAGACGTATCTGGGTTGAAAGGGGGTCGGTGGTCAGAAGAGAGAGAAGTAAACAAACACTGCGAAAAAGATATTTCGATGTTCCTAGCATATCATGTTACATGTACATGGTTTTTTTTTTTTTTTTTTTTTGACAAAAAGACAGCACTATCAACCCTACATTTCCTCAATCAACCATATCCCATGTGGGCATGTGTTTTTTTTGCAATTCAACCATATAGTTGATTAACTAATATAATTCCACAAACTTTCTAGGAAAATTCAATGAATAATTGAATTGGGAATCAAACAAACGAGTAAAAATAATTCGATCAGATAACGCCATTCCTTACGTACTTTTAAGATAGATACGCTAAATTATACTTTTGGTCTATCAAGTTTGAGATGATGTCAAATTAGTCCCTAAGTTTCAAAATTGAACAATCAAAATCGAGCATTTTCCCAAGGTTGAAGACTTGATTATTCAATTTTGGAACGTCAGACCAAGAGTTTAATTTACCCTTTAAGATGTATATGTATTTCAAACTACATTCCTTTCATTGAATGCTTAATTTTACAGAGCTCGCTCACGGTTTTGCATGGTCAAAAACCAAAAGTATGAATGAGCAAATATCAAGAGAGGCTGGTAATTCTTTAGGTGATATATATTAGGCATGTAAGCTAAAGAAACTCAAAAGGGGAGGTAAAATTGCAACAGGTCTGAATGAATTACCACCAAAATGTAGGACAAAGGAAGCAGCTACAGCTACATTCAAAGCAGTGCCAACACCCTAGTGTGGGAAGTAAATGAAGAAGTCACAGATTGCACGCTCTTCAGCAGAAAGCCTACCAGAGAGAGGAGAGATCCGTAATTACTGATATCGAGAAAACAAGGACGTTCTGAACATTCACTAACATTAGCCCTTGCAGCCCTGGTCCTTAAAAACAACATGCTAACCATCAAAAGGGTCACTCAATGCTGAAAATAGTGTAACAAAATTATTTCCTAATGATTCTGATCCAATTTGGTCCAGATGACAGATGACCATGCAACTAACAGACTCTTAATGCCTAGAACATCGTACAGGGACGGACCCTACAATAAAGCAAGAGACCTATAATACCATACTAAGTCCTAATCTCATCACATCAAAGGTGGTAAAATAATGCACTATAGCAAATATTATTGGCAGAGAAACATTTAGTAGTTATCATGTTTTTACTATGCTATCAGAGCTCATTCATTGCATTATGCTCATGGCCAGCCCCACTAATCTCAAGTATGGCTTACCCACCTCAAGATGGACCCGAGGAGACAAAAAGTCCTTTTAAGTCATATCTATCAATGGAATTAGTAAGGAACTTGTGAACCGACTTCAGCATATAGAAAATAACCCTATCAATTCAATAAGCTACAGCGTAAAATTCCCTGCCAATGGATTAAGTACAGATCAAACAACAAAGACATTACATTAACCAATTCCTATTTCTAATCAATGATTAAGAATTGCAATTAAAAAGACAATTCCAGCACAAGCATGTAGGGATCACCATCAATGAAAGGCCAATAAGATGCAAACGAACAACCAACCAACCTCGTTGCCAAGAAGAAAAGCGATTTTTGACAGCCACAGGCGTTGTCAAGGATCTCCACGGCACATATATCTCAATCCTCCTCCTACAGAACAGAAGAAGGCAATTCAAATTTCAAAACTAACCTATTGTCAAATTGAGACTAGTTAAGGGAAGAAACAAAGAGGGCATAACCTCGAGAAAACTTTGGGCGTCGAGAAGGGAGTGAAAATGGCGGAGCCGGCGGTGAGAAGTGGAATCATGGTTACCAAAGGCGTTAAAATCCCAACAGCCGACGAGGATGAGCTCCGATGCACCGAAGGCGATGGCACTTCAGGCCAAGGTACCAACGGTGTACATTTTGGCTACGTTATGCACCACAACGTAGCTTTCGATCCCCATTTTCGAATTCATTGGCGAATAACTCAAAAGTTGGGTTAGATTGATTGAATTTTTCAAGTAATCGGTTCACCAAAACGTCTTTAGTGGACGTCTGCATTGACCGATGATGAAAGGCGGGAGAAGGCGGGAGAAGGAGGAAAGAGAGAGAAACGAATAAGGAATATATATATATATATATATATATATTATTTTAATATATTATTTCCCGCAAAATTCTACGTTTATTTTTGCAAGTATCAAATTCTCCACTAATAATTTTTCGTTTTAATTTTTTAATATTTAAAATTTTTTAATTTAAATATTATAATTAAAATGTCAAAATTAACTAATTTAATTTTTTAATAGAGTCAAAAGATATACATAAGTGGGTAAATCTTCATATAAAATTTTAAAATATTACTAAAATAAATAGCTAAATTATTTTAAAATATAAAAATATAAAAACTAAATTTAAAAATCAACTTAATTATTATAAATATTAAAATACAAAAATTAAATTATTACAAATTAAAAACAAAAAAAAAAAAAAAAAAAAAAAAAAAAAAAA